ATTTATTTATATATTTTTTATCACCACTAACACATATATGGTGAATGAAGTATTCTTTAAATGTAAATATACATTCAAAATAGATGAAAATAAATGTTGAAACAAAACATTGCATGAAAATATTACAATTTTTTGTATTTATTTTTCAACGTAGAAAAAATAAATTTTATTTACAGATATTTAGATTTGAATCTAAAGTCTTAACATTGAATTTTTTGACTTTATTTCAATAATTAAATAATTTTTGATTGATCAAATTAGAAATGTAAAGTCTTCATATTATTAAACAGTGATCAAATATTATAATGATGATTGATATTGAAAGCCTTATTGATGAAATATTTACTGAGGACATTTTTCAAATCTTCAAATATTTTACTGAATGAACACATAATTATATTTATTGTAAAATATATTTTAATTATTTTTGAAATCTATTATTTGTTTCATTTACATTTTATGTGCACTTGATATATCTGATTTTCAACATCGAATGGCATATTATTTTGTTTAAAGTTTCTTTTTTAATCATGTCCTTGGGGGATGTGTATTTGTAACTATAAAAAGTGTATTTTAGAGTTCATTGCAATTTGAAAAAAAAGCCATAAACCGAGAAAAATAGTTTGATATTGAGAACGATAAAACAAAAATGATAAAAAATAAGACAACTGTAACTGTTATATAGGAACTTATAGATGAGAGCATGAACAATAATTTTTGATGTAATCAAAATAAGTTATTTTGAATATAAAGAATAGATTAGTTTTTAAAAATATGTTTTAGAATCAAATATTTCTCATTTTATGACAATCATATGTTGATTGATAATTCGGGATAAGATTATATTCACTGATATTGCAACTCTTTCTTTTTCAACTGATAGGATGAAAATATAACTAAATGAATTGTTCAACTGCAAAAATGGAGTTATATGACAAATTTAAGAAAATTAACAACGTTAAACACTCTACTATAAAAACTACACTTTCAATAATAACAATTTTTTACATATTGTTTGTGATTACATGCTGAGATAATAACATCAATCTAACAAAATATTAGACTGAATAGTTCATAGTTTATTCATAATGAAATAAGTTGATCCGATTTGTTGAAATTTCAACTACAGTAAATATCATGCCGTTATAAAGGAATCAATTTGTGGTTAAATTAGTTCATACATTATAAGTGTTGTTGGGTATAATATTTAAACACACTGTGGTATATTTGTAGATGATTATCAATTGAATATATTAATGAAGTTGATCTTAGTGGCTATATATTTTGTAAATGGTAAAAGTTATCCGATGGCTGTAGACAAAATTTGGAAAAAGAAATTACACAAAAAATTAGATGATGACTATCAAGTAGCATGGTCTTTTGCTGAATTTTGATCGTATTGAATTGATTATGAATCATTAATTGTATGTCTACCAATTCTATTCATCTAATGTTGATATAATAATATCAAATTATATGGAATGAATATTTGTGATCATCAACATAATGTGACATTTAACACTGATTGAAAAATATTGTGAGTGAATATGAATAGTACCAAATTAAAAAATGATAAATCTAATAGGTGTTTGTATTTAATAACTGTTCATTGCAAAAATGTGAATGACACCAAAACTTTTAAGGAGATTCATTAAAATTGATAACAAGTGAAAATAATTGTCAAACATCAAAGGTTATGCTTTCCTTGCAAAAATATTTAAACATGCTAGTAGATAATTTTCAATTGGATTCCTTTTGCATCATTATTATTTTAATCTTCACGTATGTAATTCTTCACAATATATATATTCATTCTTATGAAAAATATCCCTTTTCTTTCATACAATAATACTTTCAATATATTTTTTTGTAATTATTTTCATTTTACTATCTTCAGAAATTTTTAATTTGTTTAGTCTTCTACTGTTTTTGGGGTCATCATCATGACTAAAAAGGTTCACTATCATCTTCATTTTCTTTATGTCTATGTTCTTTCTTGTTAGTCTACTCTCAGAATTAAGCAATTCACATGTTAGAATTGTTCAACTCACATCAACTATTTTTATAATATGATATGATTTTGTGCTTGCATGCTATCCCATTTGAAATTTGTTTGCTTGCATGACATAATGCACATCTGCTGTTCATGTGTGCATATGCACATATGCATATAAACATATGTGAATATATACTAGATGAGTGCAAGTTTACATTATTTGTTGACCATTTAGCATCTACTATAACTAATAATAATGTTTTTGTAGAAGTAATTTGGGCTGATAAGATTGATCAAATTTCTGACGGATAGCAGACATGGTTGTCTTGATAGTTATTGAAGATTAAATTTCTCTCATGTTCTTATATGAAAGTGAGGGCAGGAATTGCATTCCATGTGGATATTAAACTGTCTCATGGAATGAACGTATATATGACTTGCAATCAAATTTAAATACACCTAACTTGTAGGTAGTTAGGAAAGATAAAATACTGTAGTACATATTCTTGTTACAAATCCTACACGACGACCTGTTTGAGGAATGAGATTTTAAGAATTCAATACAATGTTATATGGGAAGCTCTATTGCTTTCAAGGTATATATGGAGTTGTTGATAAATAATCTTAAGAAGTTTGTGATGGTTTAAAAAATATGGAGTCCTTTATCTTAACCATATCATAAAATTTGTACACAAATATATTCATTGTTTTACATATAGCAATAATTATAGCATTCCACACAAAGGTTTAGATGCAGATAGTCTAGTTCATATTTTTCATTCTGATTATTTGTTTGCTTCGCCCCATATTAAACTTCTTGTTTCAATTACTGCAATCTTCCCACATTTCTTGACAACCAAAACTAATATGAGTCTGTTTTGATTCCATTTATTTCATAAAAAATTGGGTTCATGCATGCAGAAATGTGTTATTTGTATGGGAACACGGGTCTCATGAGAATCTACAAGTTTGCGTGGATGGTAGGCAGTTTGTTGTAGCCAATTATGCTGAGGGGTTGAGGTTTTAAATTTCCAGTATGAAGTTTGACCTGATTATATTTTTGACCTGAACGCCAATGACTTAAATATATGTGAACAGCTTGTCATTAACCTGTGGATGCTTCGAGCTTTCTATTAGTTGACCTTTACAGAACTCGAAAAGACTATAGTAAGAGCTTGCATGGAGGTACGATGGCTTAGAATTTTATTTGTTGAGCTTGCCATAAGTCAGTGAACAGAGGGTGAAACTTTGTAGTAAGGACCGAATTCTAGAAGTCCAAGTACATCCAGCCTATGGCTGGTGTTCGCATCTCCAATTGGCCGATCACTTTCATCGACAATTCGATTTGTTCGTTTCCCAAGGCTTCCACTAGAAGCCGTCACACGTCACTCACCTTTTTGAAAGCACGGTGGAGAAAAAGTTGATGGGTGTAGCTTCTCGCCCTCTGTAGGACAAAGCTTCCATAGCAGGCACACTGTGAATGTTGCAAACTCGGCGTAGTTCAAGTGGTTTCTTTCACTTTTCTTGCATCTATCCCCTGTTTTGAGGTTTGCATCGTCAGAACGGTACAAGTGGCAATGTGACAACTGCGAGGCACGATATTGAGGAGATGAAGCACGAATAATCGTAACACGTGTTAGTGTTCGTATGTGGATGGAAAGTGTTCCCAAACTCTGGTTCCAGCCAGGAAAACGGACAGGATGAGGATGTGGCATCATTGATGCGTTGCCGTGTAATTTGCTCGTATTAATTTCAGATCGTTGGCACGAAAAGCTCAACGTATTCTATCTATTTAGTGACGTGTTGCAGTTTTTGTACCGCTGAGATCAAGAAGAAGCATGCGAAGGAAAACTGGACAGGATCGCGCAGAAAGGGTTTAGACAAGGGACGAGAGATTTGATCTGAAAGTGATGATGATGATGATGATGCTGTGACGCTGGCTTCGTGTAGGCGAAAACGATCATCCATACATGCTTCGGATGTGCATGAGAGTTGAGTCTGGCGAAGGACCTACAGCGTGAGTTCTCGTAAGTAGCTGTCAGGTCCTTCTCGCATTCCGTAGGTCAACCTCGAAGATGTTTTCGATGGGAAGTGGTGCCCCGTAGTGATTAGACCAGATTTGAAAGTCTGCAGACTTAGCGCCAGGGGAAGGCCTTGGCACATGGTCCCACTGTCCCACCATGAATTTCGGTCATGCGGAGTTTCAAAGCTATAGCGGTCTTAGCCCGAAATCCCGCTTTAGTCGCTTGTCACGAAGCTTATTTAGCAAGGGATGATGTCCCATAATCTCGTGATCGGGGCTGATCGTAATGGACCCTTGTAATGGCCCGCTAATTAGTAAGTTAGCCTCGAGGCAACACAATCATCAGACGCCACAGTTGCAGCGCCAAATTTAGTGAAACGCAGGACCCGCAGTCAGTCGTTGCCACGATACGGAATGCCACCTGAATTTTGATGAAACAACGGTTCCCAGACCAACAGCGCATCACCTCCCGCTGCATGCCTTGGCGTTGCACGCTGATGGCGCGATGAGGGCGATTTGGAAGCACACTAAACCTTCGACAAGGCATTTGTACACATGCCGACCTCAGGTCAAGTGCAGCAGTTATGATGTCCTACGGGGAGCTAAAGTAGGGGCTAGCACCAATAGTCGGGAGCTTGTCAAAGTGGGCGCTTAATTAGGAAGCTTTCCAGAATGGATGAGGTAGCAGAGGAAAATTGTGGATAATCGGTAGAAATGCTGGGCAACACCGAAGCTCCTCGAAGGTAAGACAACCATGAGCCATCTATTGTAGAGACCGGATTGGAATAGGTAACCAACGACTTAATCCAAACTCGAATCCCCATGTTACAACACCCCAACTGCCCAACTGCAAGACTTAGAAGAGTCCTGGCAACACCTTCTAGCCTTCACCCTGCGTCCGAGAGATTCTCTAGATAACCATGAAAGGGGGTAGTGTCCTGCACCTGAATCTATGGCTCGCCTTTTAGACCCCACAGCTGGAGCCGGGCGAAATTGTTTAAGGAGCCCAAAGTACAATCGAGAAGACCCTGGGAATTGATCTAGGGGCGACCCGGGTGAGTGAGGTGAGCCCTAAAGAGGCATACGGCGATCGCAGGCCCGAGTGTACCGTCTGTTACGCAAGGAATGAATCCAGCCCAATTTAACCAGACAGATTCTCTACTTCCAAACTTGTACTGCATTAAAGGGAGTTCAAATCTTGATTGAAATGGTTCTCGTTGTTCCAACACTAATGATTCCTTCCACTCAACAACAAACAGACCCGGGCCTTTGCATACATGGCGAATATGTTGGATTGACAAACGATAAATCGCAGCGCGAGAGGGACACGAGTGTCGACAGGCGCCAAATGGAACCCGGCTCGGGCAAGGGCACGCCGTCGACACGGGGGTCGACAGGTCGTCCTTCGGGGAGGCCAGCATCGCGGCCGGGGCCGAGATTCAAACCTCTCGGGGCCTCCTTACGGAGGCCAGCAGCCAGCGGCCAGCGGGATGGCAAGAGCGCCGGCTCACCTAATATCTATCTGGTCCGAGGCCGGTCGCCGGGCGGACGGCAGCGCCCGTCGCCCTCACCGGTCCCGGAGCGGGCGAGCAACAACCGAGAGACTGTGACGGCCGTCTCTCGCGTCGAGTCAGCCTGAGCCGGGCGGGAGGGGTGGCCGTGAGTCAGCAGAGAAAGCTGGCGGAGCAAGCGTGGTGGTCATGACCGACGACGATATCCCTCCCGCCGCGCCATGCAGCGGCAGCAGAGCCGTATGCCCCACAGTCGCCGGTCCCTCTCGTCCTGATGCCGCGCCCGGAAGGGCAGGGTGCCCGATGTGCTGCGGCTGGCCGGTCGCCCGGGCTAAATCAGGGGCGCTGCCATTTTCCGCCCAAACGAATGCTCACGGCGGAACCGAACGGAGCTCACGGTGGGCCTGGCATCTCGGGAAGGAGGTGCCGACGCACTCGGACGGAATGTTGGGGTCGTGGATCACCGCGTTTCGGTCCGCCTCCAAGAATTTGGGGAGGGGGGCAGTGCGCGGTGGAGTAGTCCAGAAGAGCGACCTGCTCGGGCCTCGCCTTTGGCCATTTGTAGAATTGATTGTTGGAGACATGCTCGGGCGAAACTCATGACGGACTTTATGGGACATGTCTTATGATTGTTCCCCGGGTCACAAATAAAATATCCAGATACTTGTTGTTTTTCCCGTTGCCCCGCTTTTTCTATTCACGGAGTCAGGTTCGGCCCTCTGACGATCGAGCAGGGCCCTTGCACCGTGGTAAATATGGCCGAGAAGAAAGGGATCGCAAGGACAGATGCAACTTGCTCCCGTCCTCCTCCTTCTCGTACTGCAACAGTTAGGTGATACATAATAGTAATATAAGATTCCGGAAAGCAATCTAGGATCTTGAATCTTGAGACAGGCCTCGCCTATGATTGACAAGCGAGCTCGGAACTGGTGTGAGGACTAAAGAATTATTTCCGAACTGCAACAAGGAAACAATGGACGAATAAGCAGAAGATGCTCTTGCACTCCAGATTCAGGAAGGAAGGAAGCAACGCAGCGGCAGCTTTTCCTTCCTGATGCAGCACCGAGGGAGGAGATTGAAATACGACCAGCCATGTGGAAGCACACCAATTGAGTGGAGTCCTCTACGAACTCACTTATCAGAGTCCTCTCAACCACTCTAATGTCGTACCCAGGATCTTCCTTTATGAAATTTGAAAATTTGTGTTGAGCCCCGTGCCATGGCCAAATGGACTGAGCGCGGAGAGCAAGATTAAGAGCGATGGGACCCGTTGTTAATTGTTGACTATTGGCACAACGTGAGGAAGAAGCATGCCGAGAGCGACTGCCCTGCGTTGCTGCTGGCTCCGTGGGCCGAGCAGTTCTCGCCTAAGCTCGTGGGCATTGTCGCCATAAATTTAACCACGGATGGTGGTGAATCCTCTTGACCCCACAATGAAACATAGCCTCCGAGCCTGTCGTAGATCGCCGGTATTCTTGCCTCTTTTGAACCCATTTATCATTTGTAGACAAACGGGTGGTGGGGCAAACCCTTCACCTTCTGCTGCTTCTCCTTCCGCTGAGGCGCAGCGCGAGAAAACACAATAATGTTAGGCGCTGCTCGCCCGCAAGAGGGTCCCTGCAATCGCAACGCTCCAGGTCAGCCGGCTGCTGACTCGCCGAAAGCGTCTGAGCGCAACATAACGGACGGTAGGCGTGCTCGACAGCGAACCGAATGCGATTTCGCATACATTCACAGCGAATTCTCCCACAGCGATTCGGCAAATTCGCGCAGACTATCTGTCGTCCACGTGCTGCGTACATACTGTGAACTGGTTCTCCTCCTCCTCCACCCCCGCGTCCCCGCTATGGAGCTCTCTGTCGGTCCCCGCAGTCGTACAGCGGAAGACTTCGGGACGGGGAGAGGGGGGCGGCTCTTTCGCGACCAGCTTCGGTCCGGGTCGTCGGTGTCGTCGTCGTCGTCCCCAGAAGAAGGTACGAACGAAAAGTCGAAAACGAGTAGGGAAACAAGCGGAAGGAACGCCGGCACCGAGCGACCGAAATAGCACCTTCCGTAGATGGCAGAGGCGAGCGACGGCGACGGGCGGAAAGGGAGCGAGCCAGTCAAGAAAGAGCGCGGTCGAAGAAACGGCAGGCCTCCCGGCAGCACCTCCGCTTTCAAACGGACGGCGTGACCGCCCGGAGCCGACGGGGGATTCGAGGGCCGCCTGTACGACGGCCACCTGGCCGAGGCTCGCGCAGTGGGTTTACCCGCCACCTGTGACCTGCCGGACGGCCGGAAGTGGCCGGGTGCTTGTCGGGACCTGGTGTGCCGAGTGCGTTTCTGCGTGAGAATTGTTCCCCCGGCTCCGCACCAGCCTCATCATCATCGATAATCTGTTGGTTTTATGCATATGTGGCGCGCAGCTGCCGATTGCCGAGAGCCGAGTTGTGCCATTGCCGTTAGGGCCCGTTCCATTCCAATTCCATGCCCCATTCTTTTCTTTTCTTTCCCGTTCTCTTCTTTTCTTTTGTTGGGGATTCTTTTGCGGGAGGAAAGTTCTCATGCGATGGCCGGGGCCAAACCAGGGGCTGAATAGTCTTTCCATGTCCCCAGATATAGTAAAGTATTCTAAACCGGGCGGAGGTTAACTCGCGGTAAAACCCTAAAGATTAAGCGGAACCCCCGAATGCGGTCAGAGCGATTCTTTGTTGACCGACAGGAGTTTACCTCCTCACGGGCTCCAGTGAACTGAGAAACCTTCGGTAAGGAAGGGGGATTGGGGCCGCGGCGGGGCCCACCGCATTCCCGTCGTTTTTCCTGCACTTTCTCTCTCCCTCAAATACTGCATCCCCCCCGCCACCATCACCGCCCTCGCTCAGCTCTCTCGCCCCCGGCCCTCTCTTCTTCTGCGCCTCCTCTGCTGCTGCCTCTTGTGCATTCGGCTGCTACGACCACCACCACTACACTAGAAGAAGAGCTCGCGCATCGCTTTGCACTGCACTGCACTGCCAGCGCTCGCCCTCAGCACTTCGAGCTTTTTATCAACTCCAGACAGTGAGTGAGTCAGTCAATCGTCGTGCGGTGCCTTTTACCGGACGAGAGCGGGCTATTGCGGTTGATCGCCCGAAGTCGTCGCGAGTTCGGGTTGTGAATGACAGTGCAAGCTCTAAGAACGGGCGGCTCGTGCGTTGATTGATCGCCCGTGAGAAGCGAACGTCGAATTCTTCACCGACGGTGCAATATTGTTTCATGCTTCTTCTTGCGTCCTCGAGTGGAGTTCTTTGACACCAATCCGATTCCAGCGCTACATGTTGGCGTTTCAGGCCCTCTTTTGGTAAGGGCCCAAGATACTTGGTATCAACCAAGCATCTCGTCGATCACATTGATACTCCTGACGATTCTACGATTTCAGCCTGATAGGGGAGGTGGATTCTCTTGAAAACCCTTCTCTGCAATCGTCTTAGGTGCCGATCAGGGTAGGGCCTTAGCGTCTTTCTCTTGGCCCTTCAACGCGAGCGTGCTCCTCAGCTGCTCTCGAGTTGTTCAACGGGAAGCCAAATTTTTTTCCGCCTTCTATCCTCTTCCCCCCTCCTGTCTTCCGTACTGCTTTCCCATCTTCGTGCAACGTAGGAAGCCCTGTAAGGCTACATCGATCCCTCTTAGTTCGCCTTCCACACCAGGAACCGGTTTTTTCAAAATTGCTCTTGGGACGAGTAAATTCTCTCTGACGGGAAGCTCTTGCTGGTAGATCTGAGTAGAGTTCTCCCCAGCCTTCGACCCTATCAATTGGCTTCCAGGGGGAGGATCCCTTCACAGCTTGCAAGAGCCAATTCCTATTTCCTTTTCTTCATGCGAAGTGAGCGTTGATTGCATCAACGCTCGACTTTGGGAACCGATGGTGAAATATCGTCGCTTCTTCTTTTCGTTGATCGTTTCACTTTTGTAATGTGGCCTGACCTTGTTCTCGTTTAATGTGACAGAACCAAGTTCGAGGAGAATGCATGCTTCAAACCTCCTGAAGGCTGTATTGAAGCCAAGGTCGATCACTTCCAGCTCTTCCGGTCAATCTTTGAACACTAAGGACTCTAAATCTCGCAGCGGCCCCCGAGCATCCACCCCGGAGACAAGTCTATCTCTGAGCGTGAGCAAGAAGGCTACTACCGCTGCCCCCGCCAAAATGTCTTGCCTCTGCGCACCAACCAACCATGCAGGCTCGTTTCGCTGCCGTTTACATCGTGGCGGTCAGCAATCTTGGGGTGGCAAGCCCATAACCCCTGCGGCCCCAGCCCCCAAGCCAAGTCCTCCTTCTCCCCCAGCAGCCGAAAGTCGTCCGTCGGCGTCGTCACCAGTTGCTCCTTTGCCCGTACCGACGGAGAATGGTCTGTCAAAGCGACTGCTGCATCAGAGTCCGAGACAGCTTTCGAACAACTTTGCGCATCCTCATACACACAGGAGTTGTGATGCCCGGCCCAGCAGACTGAGCAAGGTTTCCGTCGCCACGCAACTGGAAGCCCCTGTTGTGGCCGAGGCATGCGTACCCGCTCCCGCTCCCAAAGAGTAAGTTTCTGGCCGGTGCCTATGTTGTAATGTGGTCTATCATTCATTACGGCGCAGGGGTTTGTCATTTATTAATGTTCGAGATTTTCGCCCAAATTTGGAGCCCACAGGTGACTAATGTGCTCTGGTCTTGTGTTACAGAGCGCCCGGAACTGTAAGATATCTGAAGTTTACTGGCGGCGCTGGATGCGCTAGCGCCGCGGTCCTCGAGGCCGGAGTGGTTGCCATCAGAAAGTTACAAGTCAGCAGCAAGAAGGACGTGATGCTCGAAGTTTTTAGTGCCGGTACTGGTCTGAGCAGGGCTGGATTTTCTTTGTAACATTTGCAAAGTTATGGAATTGGCGATCCCCACCCAGTTATTCTATTCTATGCGGAGGTTGTACAGCTGCTGTAATAGCGCCAATTGAGTTAGGATTTTGAGAAACCCTCTGGGGCGTGTAAAATGAGACACTTAATACTATTCAGTGTAGTTCAAATGTAGATTAGTCGTCTGCGAAAACCTGCCAAATATCTCGTCTGATTAGTGACCTTTGAGTCTGTTCAAGGCCATGGGGGTTGGCTCATCCGAAGGAATAAGGGATATGGCAAAATCTATCATCTCCCAAACAAATTTTTTATTTGCTTTGGCACTGCATCCTAGTGTCAATCTTGTCCAAAGTGGGACTCTGTAACGTGCCTCGATAGTTCACCAAACGAAAAATACTTCCCTTCAACAGAAACGTAGCACAGAGACATGATCCCTTTGTACGGAAAGATTCACTTATAAAAACCAAACTGAAGATAAGATTATTACCACTTTTGCCCCGAGTGCCTACTTCCCAAGTGAAGTTACGGTCTGAGTACTGGAAATGTTACGGTTGCTGATTCTTTCCATTCAGCATGCTGATTATTTGTGAAGTGAAGTGATTATGACAACAATGTTAGGAAATGAGAAGTTTCTTAAATCGCCGCCCTGTTGTGGTGTGGGTGATTTATTCAGAAACATCTCGTGCAGGTCGAAATGACGGAAGCCTAGATCGGAGGATATCAGAAGGAGCGGGACATGGTATGTCCGGCAAGCTCACCAGCTCCAAATATGAGCAAGGACCGCTGCTCAGAAACGTAAGTATTTGCATAAGCTGGCCCTGACACAATTCCCGAGACGGTTGGCACGAGCGAAACGTGTTGACACTAAATTCTGACCGTGTCCCAAGAAATGGGAAGGTTGACACTGTGTGCTGTCTGTCGCGACATTCTGTTTACGAGTTGCCCTAGTTGACATCATACGGTCTGGAACATACGGCCCTCTTGAGCAGGAAATGACTGCCGATGTGATATGACACCTGATGATCGATAGGGTATTGAGTCTACATGTGAGACCTATTTCTGCATCGTCGCTAGTCCCTTCTGCCTGCACCCTCTGTGCGTAAGTCGAAACGCTGTGAGCGTCGTCGGGGCATGAGAGAACGGTCTACGAGCATTGGTCTCATCGTGATTTTCTCGTGTGTGTGCGCGTGTGTGGACCTCCACAGGTGAACTGTTCGTGGTGACTGCAATTTCGCGATCTTCTTCCAGTTACCAACAATGTTCCCATCTTCTGAGGGCGGTGTGGACATTATCGGAGATTGGAAGCGGATCGGGGTAGCCTGGGTTCTGAAGGACGCGAAGGCTGGCGGACTTTTGCAGCGGGAGAAGTTCATCAGCCCTACTGTAGATACGGGATCCGATCGTCTGAGGGCTGTAGCCAAGGGAGGAGCAGAAGGTTTGTATGTAGGGTTGAAGAATGTGAGATAGGGCATAGAATTGTAGATATGAGACGTCGGGAGCTCCGCTTGTGGAACGAAGGTCGAGACCCTTGTCCGACGACGCTGTACAAGCGGGCCGTGGAAGACCTGGAGAGCACAGCACACCTGGTCGCTTCTCTGATGTGGGTCCACGCTCCATCATTCAGGCTGGAAGATAGTGTGTTAGAGAGCAGAGAGATTGCGAGGTCTGTTACTTTGCAGTGAGGGATTGAGGGAGGTTTGGCCTGCTGACAGTATGGACCTTTACCGGTGACGGCTCGATCAGATTCATAGTGTGGACATATTACCTGTACGTAAATTTTCATGCCAGTAGGCAGGTTTAGCTCGATCTCTTGATGAGGCTGCAGAGAATCGGCCCTCTCATTCATTGTACATTGGCTGCTATCACGTAGGGATGAGACACTCCTTAATAGATTGAAAGCACAAAAAAGAATACAGCAATCACGTGTTGAGGTGTAAAATTCCGAGGTTGCCGCAACAGCCGTTTTCCTCCTCGAAGCCCACGTTCTAATTTTAAGGACGGAATGTTGTTCTAGCTGCTGTTGCACATGCTTTGGCTCTCTAAGACGAGCACGTCCCACTGGTTTTTACTGGAGCTGTCGGTTTAATATAGTAAACGTACCTATATCTTGCTTATCAGGTGGCGAACACTTTGACGAGATGTTCTGCAGGAGGGGTCGTTCATTGGTGCCAAGCAGGCTTGCCACTTGGACGAGTGGGAAGCTGCATCCAGAAGGTGTGCCCATGACAGATCTCCTCGGCGATATCATTTTGATGAAGTTGAATGATGCCAGTACGTGTAAAAGATGAGCCTTCTGTGTTCCCATGCAAAAAGTCTAATTTCTTTTTCACAAAAAGGGAGCCGGGCTGATTTTATAAGGATGCTGGCCGGGTCGAAATACTTTTTTGTGTAAGAGAATTCCTCGACCAGAACGCGCAAGAACCCCCGGCCTCGTAACCTTAGAACTATATTCCATGACGAGAAAAGCCCGGATCGAGGAGAATTTGATCACTCTATTCAACAGCCATATTTTGCTAACTGAAACGGTCAAAGTAGCGACCGCCATGTCAAATCCCGTGAGGACGTATGTGAAATCTGAGCAGAGGAAGATTTTCAGGAGGATAATTATACAAGGAAGGGCTTTTTCCGAGCGAAGCAAGTGCGTCGCTCCTCGATGGTTGCCCGGAGGTCGCGGTCGTTTGCCATCAAAAGACGAAGTAAAAGGAATCGCCCACCCGAGTCACGGCGATGGAGGGCGGGGAGATGACGGGATAGATCGCTGCGCAGTAAAGGGACGAAGCAAGTCCCTGGTCTGGCAGCGGGGTGAGTGAAGGCCGAAAAGGTATCGAGGACAAGCGGCATATTGTAGTTGAGGCTTGTTGTAGTCTCCTGCGTCATCGCCAGAGGCACGTCGTGATGATGATGGCGGTCCACCAACAAGAGCAGACGCGAGGGAGGGAGGGAGGGAGGGAGGGGCTCGGACATTACGCAGCCATGCTAGCTCCAACTGGTGAAGAGGCCGAGCGGAAGAGGAGGAGGAGGAGGAGGAGGAAAATCTTGCAAAAGCCCAGCCCCGATCAGTTGAGTTCAGAGGGCCCGGGCGGGCCCGTGGCCGATCGCAGCTCGGCTGCGAAGACGACGCGAAGGTGGGGACGCAAAAGGCGGGATAGACAGAAAAGGAGAGGAAAGCAAAGCGGGAAGGGGAGGGAAGATGAGACGGAAGGGGAAGGGGGATCTGGCCTGGAGGTGTCAGTCTCAAGTGGTCAGAAATCGTTGAGATATTCTCTCGCGTCGCGCAATTGCCTTTCCCCCTCCCCCTGCTGCGTACTGGAGCCTTCGCGAGAAAAGCTCAGCTTTTGCGCGACTTCGACAAGAAGAAACGATGGCAATTCAGAAGAAAAGCGATCTGGACTGTTGTGGATTCGTTCGCGATATAGATCACAATAAAATAATGCGCCACCGAGCATTAAAAAGGTTGCGCAGCATCTGATTCTCATTATTCCCCTCGATCACCATGCATCATCACATCTGAGGCGCCCGGGCGCGCGCGCCTGCCCGCTCTGCCTGCCCCCCCTGCCCCCTGCCAGCCTCCCGCGACCCGGGGTCAGAGCGCGCTCAGAGGGAGGCTCAGAGGCTCAGAGGCCCAGAGCCTCTGACCTGAGCCCCTCCTGAGCCTACGAGCGGAGCTATGGCACTGTGGGTTCTGCACTGCGCTGCAAGGTTTGCGTTCACGTCTCGTCCGAAACAAACAAGCCCGGCAATGTGCGAGCACGAGGCCAATGGCGACGTGCCAGCCCTCGCGCTCTGGCTCTTGCGATTGTAAGCGCGAGATTGCGACAGAGCTCCTGTTGTCGTTCCTGATCTTCATCCCTGGGGCTCTGATGATTCTCTCCGCTCGACACAGCTACCACAAAAGTGAAGCTTTCTTATTTGGTCATTCTCGCACTTTAACGAACGACATCCTCGACCCTGCTCGACGGATGAAGCGAACCCATTGTAGATAACCTTGCAACTGCTCGATGCTTCTCTTCACGCGAGTCGTCGACGTGTGGAATCTGTGGATGCGATCCAAGGGCTGGTTTCGTGTGTGATTAGGGTCCAGTCCAAATGCGATGGAGATGCTGCGCGGTTTCTACAGTCTTCAGAAAGGGCATATAATTCTGTACACTGACACCCGGAAAGTGCTGTCTTCTGGCAGCATGGAAATTCGTCGATCAGTGCTTTCAATGCTTCAACTCGAGCGAAACTCAGATCAGTCTGCTCTGCTCTGCCCTGCCCTTCCCTGGCCTGCCCTGCACTTCTGTGGCGTCATGCTCGCTCGCTTTGACTCTTCTGCAGATCTAGTGCCGTTAGAAAAGCGATTCTCGGCGAAGTGGGTTATATCTCTAGGCTCTAGAGTCTGGGCATTGAACAGGATTCTGATCGGCTTACCATGCCATGTTCGTAGACTCATACGAATTCCTCGCCCGAGTAAGATTGTCGCTCCCACTTTTCCCACCAGGCCAGCACGGGGTCGAATTCCGGCCATTTGTTGCTTTGCTGGGGCAAAAGATCTCCGCAGGCCGCAACATTGCAGCCTCAGAAGCACAACAAGCCCGGAAAGGGAGTTGGAGTATCACATGAGCGGAACCTTTAGTCCCATAGCTGCGTCTGGCTGGAAAAGAAGGCCGGGCAGTCGGCCCGCCATCTAAACACTGCCATGGATGAATGGCTTCAGTTGCGGCCCGTAGATGTGGTTCCGTTACGTTATCGGCTCGGCTCAGCGCACGACAAACATACATATCTCTAACTTATGTGGCTCTGCTAGGAATGGCAAAAGCGTGGGGAGGGGATTTTCGTGGAGGGAAGATATTTGCCTTTTCTCGCTATCGGCTCATCACTACATATATTCAATCTTGTAGGCACAACTCATCTCATCTAATCGCATCGCGCCTGGCTGGGATTGCTGTTTTTTATGATGCGATACGGGGGAAAAGAAGGGGAATCCTTAGGGTCGCGGAGTCGCAGCGCTAGCCTTTAGATGGGATATTTATCATTTCTGTGGTTGGTTCCTCTATGCATACGTCTCTGGAAAATGATTTTCTCAGGTGGGGACACGACTGACTTTTCAACGTATGAAGTGTGCGATTCAGTTGGCCCTCCACGACCACGACGAACTTTTCGAGCCCTCGTACTCATAGATGGTTGGCGATATGGTGCGAGTGATGCTCGGCCAATTCCTGCACTTTTGCTGATCCTGCTGCGGGAGGGCAAAATACTCCAAACCCTGCGCCGAGCAGGCGGTAGAAGTCGTTTTACATGGCAACAGTCGCCATGGCTTCACATGTCTCAAGGCATGCATTCTTTCTCGGTCTAGGTCCTTCTCACGCCCGCTCGCCCTCGCCCTCGCGCAGCCCAATTGCCTGTTTGGCGTGCACCACCCCGTCCGTCCTCCGGTACGTCCACTAGGGCGAGCTCTTTCTTGCCATCTATGGCTGTGTGGGCCATCTCTTGTCCCTGCGGCTAGTCTGCGGTTGTTGTCTAGGCCTCACTGGACCAACGATACTACACCACATGCAATTTGTTCGTCGAAACGATTGACCAGTTGTCAGATGGCCAAGAGACATTCGATCCACTGGCAGCGGAATCTGCACTTGTGTGTGGAACAGCACAATATATGTTGTTCTTTTGAAAGCTGCCACAACTTTATATTGCAATCGATGATAAGAACGACATGATGTGTGGAGCAAGGGATCGAACATAACCATGTTGTTGATTGGGGTGAAGCCATGGCTCGGATGGCAGTCGAACAAGCCTTTTACGTGACAACACCGCTAGCTTCATTATCAGACACCTTCATGGATCATAGAATGCTTTTCGGAATCACCTCCATGTAAAGATCCGGAATAGAAAAGCCATAGCTCCCCTTCCCGTCCCCTAGCCTCCCTCGCCCTCCCTCCCTCCCTCGGCCTTGCGTACCAGAAAAGTTACCTAAACGGATGTAGACTTTGGTTACGTTCTTATCAAAATGCCATCTCTTCTCTTGCATGTTCGTTTGATTTGATGGATTTGGTTCTCCCTAATCATGGTCCGTGTTTCTGTATTTTCTTTACCATCATTCCGGGTAGAAAAGTGTGGTGGGTGTCCTTGGAGAAAGTAAGCATTATCAATCACAAAACACACATCCCCAAAAGTTCATATCATCCAACCCATCTCAAAAGTCGTCTACGGTTTGCAGTCTGACTGCCTGCCTGCCAGCCCGCCCGCCCGCCATCAATCTATTGATACAGCCCTTCAACCCTCCACTCAGAGAATGATCTCCGAAGACTTTCCATTGACTTCAAGATTTTCGAGTAAAACCCAGTCCTGCCAAGTGAATCATTGAGCCGAACGAGAACGTGATCTCCATGGCTAGAGAGAGATTAACGCTTCGAGGGCACCAACACAGTAAGCAGTTCAGAGTTTCGATGGCGGTGATAGCTCATATGCGGCGCCCCAGAGGACTGTGCCTTGCTGCCACGATTTTTTTTAAAAGTTTTTCACTAATTACACGAACGAACTTAGACGCATTATCCCTTCCCCCAGTCTTACGTTCCATGCATTCATTCCTTGGGGCACGTATCGCTCGAGCACATCACAGTGGACTTCGTCTGTCGAATCTCGGCCGTCTGCGCTCTGGAGTCTGGACATGAAGCCGGTTCCTGGAGTCGAATTACAGTCAACAGACAGGTCGGCGAAACTCCGACGATAAAGTCCGGTCTCGCCACTGCACTGCACCCGGCATACAATACGCTCTCGTTCGGTCGGACATTCCGATGAGACCACAAACACACACACGCCTTGGGTGTCCGGTTGGGGCCGAACCGAACCAGAGTTCGAGAACCGAGATGACATGAGATCGACCTGCACTCCCCTCCCCTTTTGGGATCATTTTACGGGTCTCCGTGCCCCGAATTTGACTGCTGCGCTTCCCTTC